GGGGTCCCTCCCTGCCTGGGGATCGAACTGGTGCTGCAGTGGCTGCAGGCAGCTTCACCAGGGCGGCCCTCCTACATCACACTTTAGAACAGGCAGTAGAGAAGCTAAATGTGCATCTCACCAAAGTAGACACGAGTGGGCAGGAGGTACATGAACAGATGTTCTGCCTCACTTCTCATCAGCGACATGCAAGTCAACACCACGAGACCACCTCACACGGGCTGAAATGACTATTATCAGGGAGTCAAGAAGTAAAAAATGGTGGTCGGGGGTTAAATCTCAGCAACATAGATGCCGTGATCTGAGTTCCATCCCCGGCCAGGGAGGGACCCAAGGGCACAGCTGACCTCTCCTGTCTCCCCGCTGCTTCCTCAGCGGTGGATTTCAATAAATAAATCTTTTTTAAAAAGATACCCAGGACCCTCCCCGGTGGCGCAGCAGGTTAAAGCACAGCACTGAGAAGCTAAAGCCACTTCAGGACGAGTTCAATCCCAGCGTGGAGGTGACCCACAGGGCGTGGCAGACCTCTCCTGACCCCCCCCCCTCGCCACCACTGCTCCCCTCAGCAGTGCACCTTCAGTCGGCCTGTTCTGCTCCCCGCTCTGTCTCTGGGGAATCCTCTCACCACCCCTGCACCTCTGGCCTGCACCCCAGCTCTGTATGCATAAATAATCCTTAAAAAAAAAAAGATACCCAAGTTGGGGTTTGGAAGGGCCCCAGTGGCCCCGGCCCCACAGGCGAATTCATCATCCCGTGCTTGCTTCACCTTCCGAGTGTGGCCCTGCTCCAGAGTTCTGGGCTCTGGGTCCACGGCAGACACGACAGGGCCGAGGTTACCCTGGGGAGCCACAGATCAGCTTGCTCCTTTCACCTTTGGAGTCCAGAACCTTGCCCAGGGGCTGGTAGCTGTTGCCAGGGCCGATGTAGTTTGGACTCTGGCTAGTGGCCTCGTGCCGTTTGTTTACATGTACAGGCTGACGCTGGTGAGGGAGAGGCGGGCGTCAGCACTACAGGGCAGTCACAGCAGAGAACACCCCCTTCTGTGAGGGGACAGGACAGGACAGTGAGAGCCGGCCTCACGGTCCTCCAGCCAGGCTCAGGCTTCCAGGCCTGGGTGCTGCCCGCAGACCTCGGCCCAGTCTCAGCACGGCCCCGGGGTGACCGGCTTTCCCTCCCCACCTCTGGGTGCCTCGGTGCTGTATGGCAGTTGAGCATCTGGCTTTCTGCTGTGGGACCCCCATTCCTGTATTTCCCCTGAGGGGGACCCTCGGCCTGTCTGTGTGTCTCCCTCCCCACTACAGGCCCTGGGTTCTCATCCAGGAGCTCAGGGCTATAGGTTGCACATTGTGGAGGAGGGTGAGAGCGACTCAGTCTTTTGCCATCTTGCCAGGCTCAGCACCCTCTGAAACGTGCTCCGAAGCGTCTGGGTCATGTAGTAGTTCAGTTGGTTCGTTTCGCGTGTGCTAGGAAAAGGTTATTTTCTGCTTGTTAGAACAGAATTTTCCATATATACAATACTGAACTTGTTAACCAGTCTTATCTTCCATATCTATTTATTATTTGTTTGCTTACTCCATCTGTTTTAAAGGGCTACGGAAATATTTCCCTTTT